AGAGGAGGCTGGAGAGGTGGGAGGTGCATGGGCGTTGGCATGCAAGGCCGTGCGGATGGTGTTGGAGTGCATGCAATGGAGCCCTCTTTTAGACCAGGCCATTCTCTTGGCCTTCCTTTGATCTCCCTTTTCCTCTTGGCCCGTTATGGATGCTCTTTGTCATTCCAAATAACCAAAATTTGGTTCTGGTACAATGTAGCTTCCTCATTTCAGTTATTCTCACCTCTAACTTATTCCTTAGTGATGTAGGTTAACTCTTGGAGCTCTTGAGCAATTATAATCACATTAGCAAATCTGGTGATGGCACTGACTACGCTCAGTCAATCTTGCTGTTATGGCATGCAGATGATGAGGTGTGTTGTCGAGTTCGTAATTTTGACGACTTGCCTTTCATTGGCAGCCTTGATGAGGCTGATCTGGCTCATTCTCTAAACATTTAACACATGGTAGGTTGGTTTTCTTCCGCATGACATTAGTGCCCACTTTACGAGCTTGAGTATTACCTCCTAAGCTATGCAAAGAATGGTCATTCCCTTGCTGTTTTGCTCTCTGCAGTTATGTCTCCTGCAAGTTAGTGGAGATCAGGTATATGCTACAGTTACATCTCTTATTAATCCAAGCTGTTAGCCATGCCATTAATTTGACGATCGCAATTCTTCCTCGTACACAACGGCTTGAACGTTCTAATCCTGGCCGTTCATTAAGGCTCTATGTGAACAACGTGTATTTGCCTCTTGATTTTTACTTTAACATCGGATCTTCTCCTCCTTTGTTCAGTCATCATAGTTATCTTCCCTTTCTATCATGGTTGTGTTATGGTTACCTTCCTCCGAGTAATGGTTAGAACTAGGGTTATCGAGGCGTCTTCTCGCAGCAGTGATTCATGTGGTCAATGGTGTCGACTTCTACAAGGGACCCATCCCACGTAGAGTCCAGTTGTTTGAAAATGCTTCGGAAGTAGCTTAGATATAGGTACGACGTTCCGAAGAATTTCAAGATGCGCCTGCCCCGTGAAGGTGAGTCAATTGATAAACCTCCTTTGGGGCATGTGGGGTTTTACACTAAGATTTTCAACTTTGGTGTCTGTTTGCCCCTCTGTCCTTTCACTCAACGATTTCTAAGCGAGTGTAACCTTGCCCCTATAATGTTACGGGGATAAAAACCGACTTGCAACATGTCGAATGTCTGGGGGATGAACCAAACCTTGTCATTAGGGTTGCAAATGAAAGGCAAGCCTGTCGAAATTCCGAACTCACCAGCACGCAGCTCGTAATTCGCACACCATAACAGCAAGATTGACTGAGTGCAATCAGCACCATCACCAAAGTGACCATTCTGTGACGAAATGCAGGAACATCGGACCCACCTGCCAAATTTGGGTGCCTGCTCCCATGTATAAAAAGAAAGAGGACCTCAACAATCTACTATGTTTGAATCCCCTTTTAATACATAGTACTTACAATCTAACTTCATTCCTTAACTTAAGCATCAGAGTGTTCATCTTTTATTTTCTTTGCAGGACACCCATACTTTGGAAGGGATTAGTCGTGTTGTTTGCGCACGGGAATTTGTACACAACATTTTGGTCCTAAGTTTTAGTATTTTTTTCAATTTATTATCTTGTGTTTAAAAAGTGTATCAAATGTTTACAAGATACCTATCTTCAAACAAAATGTTCGTGTTATTGTATTAAAAAAAAATTAAAACATCTACGAGAACAAAATTGAAATTTCAAAGCCTTATTTGATATAAAATTTAAATTTTAGGAACTTATTAGATTTAAACGATTTATTAAAACACGTCTAAAAGTTCAAACACGAACTTAAAATTTAACGAATAGTAAATTAGCATTTAAAAAGACTGTATCAACCTTTACCACCTTAATAATAATAATAATATTATTATTATTATCATTATCGTTATCGTCATCCTCGTTGTCATTATTTGCTCTCATGTTATAATTTTATTTTATTTTTTTTAATTTGAAGTATAGATAATTCCAACTATATCTTTAATTCAATGGATATATAAAATTAATCGTGTTCCAAATTCCTATTCCTACTCAAATTTGTAAAACTGCATGAGAAATCTTATAAATAAGTTGGCCATTAAATAAGTTGGCCATAGAACACAATCTCTATTACTATCCATTCGATATAGCCCTTCTTTCAAGTTTCTAATTTTTTTAGTTCGAAGAACATCAAATTTCTGATTGTGGTCTAATGAATCTCAGTAAGTTTTCTAAACTTGATTTTAATTTGTTCTTTTTTTTTATCAAACTCTTTTTCTCTTTTTCTTTTTCTTTTTTTATCGTTTTCTGTCTATATTCATAAATAAGTGATAGGAAACAAAAAACAAAAAACAAAAAAAAAACCAAAACCTTTTATTCTGTAAATGTTTTTTTAGGTCCGATCTTTCGTCGTAAATACGCTTTGGAACGACAAAAGTGATGGAGGTTTTTTTTGCCCTTTAAAAAAAAAAAATACTAAAAAATCTCAATTTAGTCAAATTAGTTGGAGCACCCTTGAATTGAATAATCATTATTGGCAATTCTTACCTTTAATAGATTTTGTTTCGAAAATTTGTTAGAAGAAAGAAATCATTCTTCAATGTATTTAATGAATTATAAAATTATAAAATATATATGTGGAACCAAATTGATTGGATTTTTCAAAAAATAACATTAGAGTTGGATTTTGGTGAAATTTTTAATCTTGAGAGATTTGTTCAATGTTCGATTTGGTGAATTATTTGAGCTTAATTTTCGTCCATGCTTAATATTTCTTGAAATTAGGAGGTCAGAGGGATTTACTTTATTTTTATTAAAACGTATGAAGGATAAAAATTGCAAGCAAGCTTGGGCTGAAGTGCTTAATGAAATTGGAAATTTGTTGTAAAAAAATATGCTACACTACTGTTCGTTTAAGTTCAGGGTAAATTTTTAATATATATATATATATATTTTATTATTTTACTTTTTTTATTGTTTTTTAAGATCATATGGTTGTTAAATTGGGGGAGAGAGATAAGGAATTGCAAGGAAAAACAAAAGAAAACGTAATATAACATTAAGACTTTTTTTAATGAGTGTTGGTTTCGCCATTAATCATACACGAGTTCTACTTTTTGTACATTTTTTAGTTTATCATTTTTTAATGGTCCTTGCTTTAATTTTTAATTGATGTGATTACTGCGTCAATTATTTCTTAGAACCCGTTCATAACATGGATTATTACGATTGATAAATTAAAATACATATGAATAAAATTTTTTTAAATATAAAGATAAAATCTTTTTAAATTTTGAAACCTCCATATCCATGTTGTGCTAAGAAAAAAACTAAAATTAGGATTTTTTGAAAACATTTTTTTTCCGTTTTGAATTTTGTGTTTGTGTCAATTTCACCATTATGACATACATGAATTCTAATTTCAATATTTTATTCTTTAATGTTTCTTGCTTTAATGATAAATTAGTCTCTTGAAAATATAGTGATAAAGCAACCTTAAAGTAAAATTAACACAATTACTGTAAAGTTACTTCCCTTTACTCTTATTAATCTAAAACTACACATTATGAAATATTTAAAATGATCTTCTAAATTTTTGAGATCAGAATTATCCTTTCTTTTTTTTTTTTCCTCTCTAGCTTAAAAAATCGACCATCTTTATTTATGCATATTTGGCCATATCAAGTAAAAAAAATCAATTGATTAATTTGTTTTCCTACTAATTTCACTATCTTTTAATATTTCTATCAATTACCTTTACTGTCACATGTAAAATTCATCACTACTCAAGTTAGATCGAGAATGTTAATATTTTTTCTTAGATAAACAGCCTTGATTGACGATTCAATTTATAACTATACTTTTTCTTTTTTTTAATCTAATTTCACTTTTGTTAAATTTTCTGGACAGGTAAGATAATGTATCGCAAAATTGAATGTTTTGGAAGATGGCTCAATAATATTGGTTTCAAAACACAAAATATAGGAAATTATGGTCCATGGAAAAACTTGCCTGGAGATCTTATGGAGAAAATTGCTTTGAAACTTAATTCAACTGATTATATTCGTAACTCCATGGTTTGCAAATCATGGCAATCACTTCTTTTGCAATCTGATATTCTTAGGCCTCAATTTCCGTGGCTTTTGCTTCCTCACCACTCAAGTAAACACACCATAAAACTCTACAGTGTTTCGGAAAACAAATTTCACACATTCCATGTTGATGGGGGAAATAATGTTGTTGGTTGCTCCAAGGGTTGGGTTATTTTTAAGACGGTTGGATCGAAGATATCTCTTTTTAACCCTATTTCTGGTGCTAAATGCATCCTTTCGTCCCTACCGACCGCTTTATCCTTACAGCGGGTTGAGCTGTCGTCGTCGATTATTTCAGAGTGTACTGTGGTTGCAATCGTTGGTGACTTTAAGGGACTTGCTTTCTGTAGACTTGGAGATGAAAAATGGGAATTTATTTCAATTTTCAACGGATTTGGACAAGTCTATACTTTGAGTGACATAGTGTTTTGTCGCCAAAAGCTCTATGTGTTGGTTAATGGTAAAACTATCACCAAGAAGATTGAAAATATCACTATCAATTTGCCAAACTATGGTAAAGCTATTCCAATCACCTTGATTCCTGACATAAACTATGGAAAGAGTGACTCATTACAAATCGAAGGGATTTCATATTGGGTTGGATTTAAGGTTTTTTGGAGGTATACTCATGTCTCATACATAGTTGAGTCGATCAAAGGCCATGTTTTGTTAATTCAAAAGTACACCAAATCGTTCTACAATCAACTAAACGAAGAAGCGAATACACTCCACGACATTGGAGAAATAATTGATGGTGATGAAATAGATAAAGAAGATAACGAGAATGACGAAACAGAGGCAAATTATGCGACATTTGAAAATATGGCGTATAGTTGTTTGGATAGATTCAAGGTGTATGAAATAGAAGATCTAGCAAGAGAAGAGAGGCTTCCCAAGGATTTGGGAAAGGAGCAAGTATTATTTTTGTCAAGCAAAACTAGACTCGTCCTTCCAACAACTACTTCCAATGAGCTACAAGGGAATTGTATCAACTTTATAGTGGAACATGAAAGTAGGCCTAATTCTCACCCCTCATTTTGGACAGGCATGAATGGCACATATCACTTCAATGATTCTACCATAAAACCTCTAAACCCTAAATTTCAGTTTTGTTGGAACCCTAAGTTTATGTGGTTTGCACCAAATTTCCGATATTAGAATGGTTCCCCATGTGGTTGCAAAGAACGTATCTTTGTCTCTACTCATGTATACAATATTTGATCCTTCATGTAGATTGATTGATATTTTCAATAAGACTAAAATAACTAGTCTTGCCTTTGTGAGTTTCTTTATAGAGCTACAAATTTAAGCGTCAATATATGACATTAATGAATAGTAATAAAGGCTAGAAAAAAAATGTCATCAAATGTGAAATATGTGTTTTTTATGAAAAAAATAAAGTTTTTCCTATTTTTTACTTTTTGTGACGTTTAAAGAACGTCTTCGTGACGTTTAAAGAACGTCACAAAAATTAGATAAAGAAAATTTGGGTTTTCATGACATTTAAACACATCATCAAAATCCAAATTTTGTTTTTTGTTTTTCACCAAAAGATGGAAGTTTTCAGATTTTTGTAAATTTATGACATTTTTTAGCTAAATGTTTTAAAAGTTTTCAGAATATTCAAAATTTCAACCTTAGGTTTGGTTCTCTTTCTCTTGAAGCTCAATTGGTAAGGTTTCTATTAAATATTTTTTAACACTACTCCAAAAGAAAGCCTTGCCGGAACAGATGTTAGGGTGGAGTTATACAAATGTTTTTTTTAGTACAACATGTGGAGGTGGGGGATCGAACTTACAACCTGTTCGTTGGACATATATATTAATTACCGCTGAACTATGCGATTAAGAAAAAATATATAATATATATGTGGAGGTGTCAGCAAGATAGAAAGATTACAAGCATCATCATTTGTTAAAAAAAATTGGCCAATGTTAAGTTTACCTGGTATAACAGTAAGTGAGTTGAAAAACGTTTAGAAGATTATGAATATAATTAATTCAGCCAGAGAAAACAGTCTAAATTTTTGCCAATTTCATAAAATTTTAGAAGAATGCTTAATTTCTGATATAATTTTTTGCTAAAACACAGTGTCATGCTACTGTGGCCTAATTTTTAACATTCATGGACTAATTAAATACACGGGACTGAATTAAAAAGGTTTGAACAAAAGAGAATAAAATTCCGAAAAAAAAAGATAATAAACTTAAAAATTACTAAAACATTAAAAACTAAAACATATATTTAGTAATGGTTTTTTTTTCTTTTACAAAGGTAAATCTATTAAACAAAAAAAGCAGGATCTCACATCCCGAGATCAAGACAAAACACCCAAAGTGTAAGCACAAGACAAGAAGAGAGAAAATTAGATCAAGAAAACAACCGCTAGATAAACATAGAATCAAAATTCAAGCATCAACTTCTAGATCAGGTAGTAAAACGATAATAGACCTCAGCTTTCAAGACACACAGGAGAACAAAAGGCGACCAGCCCACCCCACCAGCATGAACTTTAGGATTACGCTCCCTCAAGATAAAAGAAAAAGTCGAGGTCCATGTCAAGCACCACATACGACGATGAGCAGACTTCTCAGCACTAACGTGACAAACCCAAGCAAGCTCAGTATATCAATATGAAACCTGTGAGAAGAACCAGCCCAAGCAATCATGAAAGACCACACCTCCCAACTAAATAGGCACTCAAAGAATAGATGATCTCACGACTCCATGTCAGCACAAAACACACGGGAAATAGGAACGAAATAGTCCCAATGACATAAGTCATCCCTCATAGCAAGTCGATCACGTACCGCCAACCAAGCAATGAAATAGTGCTTTGGAATGTGCCCACCGAACAAAAAAAAACAAGAAACAGGAAGTCGGGCTAGCCCCAACATACCCCACGCTCTCGACACTAAGAAGAGACCCGACAACATCAGAATCCAAATGGGCACATCAATCCTCACAACTAAAACCTGTACAGATGAAACCTTTGAGACAAGCTCCCGAAGATTAGCCGACCCCGAGGCCAGCACCATGAACCCTCGGGGAATAGAAAATAAGCAACCTTCGACCAGGACGAGTTTACAACATCAAAGATAACCTAGGTCATCAAACCTCAGATAAATCGGACCCCCATAAGCAATGTATCTTGGCACACAAAACAACACTGACCATCTCGAATAGCAAACCTAACCAGAGGTTGAAAAGCATCGTAGACATAAATAATATCCCACCAACACCAAGAGAACGGAGGTGAAGCACGAATGGTCCAAATACAATCCCCCTGAAGAATATAAGCTTTCACTCGCCACCCAAAGAGAGCCAGCCCGCGTAATAAAAAACTAGAACAAATCCATTATAGCGGTAGAATTACAAGAAGCCAAGAGACGCACACCCAAACCACCATCCTAAAAAGGAATACACACCTTAGACCAAGCCAGCGTAGCCCTCGATCGCTCGCTCTCGCACCCCTTCCACAAGAAAGAAAGCAGAATCTGTTCAACATCATGAATAACCCGAGTTGGAAAGATAAACATACTGACCCAATAGACTTGAAAACTCTGCAGAACCAACTGAATAAGATTCAACTGGCCAGCAAAACTAAGCACCCGAACTGACAAACTTCGAACATGAAAGACAATTCGCTCAAGCAAAGGCTAACAATTGCGAAGAGAAAGCCGGCGCGAAAGAAGCAAAACCCTGAGATAACAACCACGAAGTGACCCCAGTGAAAGGTCTAAGAAAGCTGCCAACATCTCCACCTCAACATTAGAAGTGTTAGGAGCCTTATGAATAAGCGTGATAGACATTGCATTCACACCATGCGGTAAGAACGAGGTGTCAAAAAATGCAACACAACCCGGCAGAAATCATCTCCCACAACACTCCAAGCCTATTTAAAAAACCCACCGAAAACCCATCAAGCCCGAGAGCCTTTCCACTACACTAATAGAAAATGTTGACGGCGAATTTCGGCGGAGGGCCACGTGGCGTTTGGAAGAGCAGTCCGACCTTGGATCCACTGGACCTGAAATCAAAGAACTCGACGCCGGTGCGGTGTCCTGCCTAATATACTCGACGCTTAATCAGTGATAACAGTAAGAACAGGAATAAGACACTAAAGATTTCAATGACAGGTTTTTCACTTACTTTGTGTGGAGGATAGTCCATCCTTTTATAGCCCTAGAGAGTCGACCAAAAAGGACAACGATTGGAAGTAGCAGGGACGTCGCGTGCTGTATGGTTGGACAGAGAAGGGCGCGCTCCCGATAGTGCAGGGTAGTTCCACTGTCTGCATCGTATGGGCATGTCGCCCAGGGCCGCTGGATGTACCCGTCATGCCCACAACACATCGCCAGTTGTGGCTATGCACGAGGCATAATCGTTTGTGGTGTTCGTCCCATCGTGAGTAGACAAGTCTTCTACTCGATGACACCCTCTCTGAGAAATTATTCTTAGTGAGCCTGCACTCACAGAGGGACAAACGCGTGTCCTATTCGGAATCTATGCATAACAGTTAGCCCTCTTTTGAGGCCAGGCCACCGTGTAGATTAGTGGACTGGGCCCAAAAGCGTTCTGGGTCGAATAGGCACGCGGGCGTTCCATTCGTATTTTCGCAAATCAATATGTGGGGCCCACGAGTTATTGCGACTACATCGATAGTCATCAGTGCGTACCGTTGTGACTGAGGGACATGTGTCAGTCGCTCTTTCCTTGTCAATTGCATCCCTGGCATGGTTTTTGAAACGGCGGGATCGGCAGCCACAATCTCCAAGGTCGTTGGAATTCGAAGCGGCGCTCAGAGATCCTTTTAAATCCTTGTGCAGGCGGGTTGACGATCACACCCCTTTTACGCCTTTGCTTCGTGCTTACTCTCCAGACCGACTGTTTCAATGGCTCGCCGTCCATTCGTCCACCACGTTTTGTCGTTGGCTACTAAGCAAGACCTTTCGAAACTCCGGGGCACTTATCGCATACCCAATTCCGTCCACATGCGCCTTCCGTCTGTGAATGAAAGAATAAACTCCCCTTATCTAGGCTGGATGAGCTTCTACTCGCAGATGTTCTCGAACGGGGTTAAACTTCCCCTTTCCCTTTTGGCCCAGGCTTTCCTGGTTGTTGCCGACATGGCTCTGTCTCAACTTGCTCCCTAACGCATGGGCCGCTCTCATGTCGTTGGTCGACCTGTGGCCGGAACAAGGAGTAGGTGAGGCGATGACTGTCTCGCTACTGTTTACCATAACTATGATGAAGTCCATAAGAGGCTTCCTTGGGTTCTTCAGCCTGAATTCTCATCGGGGGATGTTTTTCAATGCTCCGATTTCGAACAAGAACTTGAAGGATCACCGTTTCTTCGTTCGCGGGCAGTGGCTAGTTGGTGACAGTCTGATGGTCAGAAACATGTTTAGTTGCTTCAGAGAGCACGATATGTTTTAAATTTCTCTACTTTTCTTTTCAACTGCGATGACCTTCTGAGTTTCCGATTTTTCTTGGTAATATTCCCAGGTGGGACCCCTCCCATCGCCTCTTGGACGGATAGCGTTCTAAAAAAATTCTTGCAATTCCTTGGGCCCAAAGAGTCCCCACTCTGATCATAACGAATGAAAAGTTGGCTGAACATCACCTGGTCGGGGATCCTGATGGCTCAATCATAGGCAACGATGAGCATCCTACTCGTAGAGTGGCTCCAATAGGTAGGACGTTGAATCTTCTCCTTCCAACGTTCGACTATCGTTGCTTCCGGTTTGTTTGTTCATATCCTACGAAGTCACCATCCGTCTCACCCACAAGACGTGAACTCGTAATTGTATCTCTTCTTCAGATTGGCCAAGTTTCTCCGGACGGTATGGCCATTGTCGAAAGCGCTACCTCGACCAATTCCGCCACCCTCGTCTCTCCGAGCCCATCTACTAAGTCCAATGGGGGAAAACATTCCGTGGAGATAGTTCCTCGACTCGAGGAATAGGTTCCCTCGCTCAAGCGACGTTGTCTGGTGAGGTCGGGCGACGCTCCACCTTCGTCTGACCCTCCTCCTGTGGTGGAGCCAGTCTTCCGAATTTTAGAGATCGTTGAGTCTAGCTCGAGCGATGCGACTTTTCGGGCGCCTTCTACTAACAAGGAGTTGCAGCTGATGGTGAGGGACGTTCCAAGTCCAA